ACAAAAACATCAAGAATGAGACCAAAATGAGACTGTACAGATCCCTCATACTGCCTATTGCCTTGTAAGCATGGACACTTAGGGGTGCTGAAAAGAAACAACTACTTGTATTCGAGATGGCAGCACTTAGAAAAATACTTGGCGTTCGCATCATAGACAAGATGAGAAACAATGACATCAGAAAGGCCCTCAAACAGATAGAAATGACCGTGTAAAAAGTACATGAAAGACAACACCAGTGGCTTGGTCATGTACTTCGTATGGATAAAAACAGGATTGCCAACAAAACAACATTGTCAACATTGCACGGAAGAGTAGAAGTTACCACAAAAAGAGGAAGTCCAAGAAAAACGTGGATGTCATCAGTCATGGCAGGATACAACATTGGACCACAAGTTCTGAGAATTGCACAAGATAGAGACAGATGACGTTTAGTGTCGACTCATGCGAGAGCACATGTTAAAGTGCAGTAAACATGCATGGAGATATGGTGAAGAAGAATATTTGCTAATAAAATGGCATACATTTCAACATCCAAAGTATAAAAATGTTGCACACATCCCACAAACCCACACAGGGCTCAGGTGCAGGACAAAGAAAGGGAAACTATAGCCAAAATACAAACGTATTGTCCGCACACTGATATAATTGCTCAATAAGAATTAATTATTGCAATGTTTCGACCATCAGGTCTTCGTCAGGCACAAATTACGTGACTCACGTAATTTATGCCTGACGAAGGCTTGATGGTCGACTCGCGTAATTTGTGCCTCACGAAGACCTGATGGTCGAAACGTTGCAATAAATAATTCTTATGGAGCAGTTATATCAGTGTGCGGACAATACATTTGTATTTTTACTATACATTTCAACATGTCATGCGCATACTTTGTCATTTATTTATTTACTTACTTACTTTTTTTATTTTAACAGCACAGATAACTCCTGCACATGACATGCAGAAAAAAAGAGATGGGCCTCTGTATTTTTTCATAAACTAATAAATCACTGTGCAGTAGCTAGGTTGTTCTGGGTGGTTGCTAGGGTGTTGCTATGCAGTTGCTATGGTGTTCTGGGTGGTTGCTATGCAGTTTCCAGGGTGTTCTTCTGGTTGCTATGCATTTGCAAAGGTGTTGCTATGTGTTTGCTAGGGTGTTCTGGATAGTCCTGTGTGGTTAATAGGGTGTTATGGGTGGTTGCTAGGTGGTTTCTAAGGAGTTCTGAGAGGACAGTTGCTAGGGTGTTTCTAGGCGGTAGCTAGGGTGTTGCTATGCAGTTGCAAGGTTGTTCTAGGTGGTTGCTAGAGTGTTGCTTTGCGGTTGCTAGGGTGTTCTCCTGGTTATGCAGTTGCTAAGGTGTTGCCATGTGGTTGCTAGGGTGTTGCTAGGCAGTTGCTGGGTGTACTGGGAGGTTGCTATGCAGTTGCCCATATAAGGCCTTGAAAATGAAGATTCCAAAATCAAAGTTTAAGAACCAGAATCTAAAATCATATTGAGATCTTTCTAGAGAGGTACAGGCATGCAATTGTTGGAAAAGGAATATTTATGGCACTTTGACAGGTATGTTTTTTGCAATTGTTTTGATAGAAGGAAACAAGACACATTTCTATTTTCAACATAATTTTTTCTTCAGACATTTCTCTTTAAATGAAAAGAAGTATCATCTGTATGCAAAGTGACCCACATTTGGTTTTTGACCACTGAAAAAGTGTAAAATGTAACATTTTACTCTTGTAGCCATATTGAAATTCTTATATCTCTGGAAATGAACCATGTTGGGCCTTAAAAGTTAAGATACCAAAAGACATTTTCTTATGAGCTAAAATATCAAAGGATATTAAGATTTTTAATACTTCTTGAGATACAGGCATGCAAACTTCAGGGGAAAAAAGTTATTTTTCCCATTTTTGAACATCACCATTGGCATATAATGCAACAAAGATTGCTGAAGTCAACAGATTTTACCAATCACTTCTGTAAAAATAACATAATGATGTAATGATGTTGCCATCTTTCTAAAGTCATTTTATCCCCCTGTAATTTGGCTCAAAATCTCAGGTGGAAATTGCCATTTTGACCCCCTCTACAAAATAGTGGATTATTCGGTAAATATGCATCCAAGGCATTTAATATTTTATTTGATCTTGATTGGATCTTGATTGCATCATCTTCATTGCATCTATTTTATTTTTCGATTTTGTGTTTTATTTCTTGATGTATTCAGCTAATAAGTCTTTTTTTTTTTCTAAAATTTCCCATGTCAATTAAAAATAAAAGGACCTAATTGGCACTTGACTTAATTGACTTGCCTTTTTTAAGGCAAAGACCTAATAGAGGCTACAAGATATTATAAGACCAGGCAGATAGAGAAAAAATATATAATTAAATTATTATTATTATTATTATTAATGAAAACAAACCACTATTAAAAAGGTTTAGTATATAGAGTGTATAAGATTGTACAGTGTATAGTATGTAAATCCATGTAATAGGATACCACAGGGGCGTTTCCTTCATGGAGGCAGTGGGGCAGTCGTGGCCTAATGGTTAGAGAGTTGGACTTGTAACCCGCAGGTTCCAGTCTCAGGTCCGGCAGGAATTGTCGGTGGGGGGAGTGAATAAGCAGCCTCCACCCTCAATACCATGACTGAGGTGAGACCCTTGAGCAAGGCACTGAACCCCCAACTGCTCCCCGGGCGCCGCAGCAATATGGCTGCCCTACTGTGTGTGTGCACTTGGATGGGTTAAATGCAGAGCACAAATTCCGAGTATGGGTCACCATACTTGGCCACATGTCACTTCACTCACTCACTCAAAATACTGGATGAGAAAAAAAAATAGTACAAAAATAAAACTATGCAAATATTATAAAATATAGTGTTAAATCCCTAATTTTTCTAAAGAAACACTGTCAGAGCAAAGCAATGTCAGCGGGTAAAGTTACAGCAGGAGTCCACAGAGTCTCTCTCACCTCCCCTAAGCCCATTGAGTTTTAACAGACCCTAAAGCGTGCTGTAAGTTTGGTGTGGGGTAACTGAGAATGAATGGGGGAAAGTGTGCACTCCATGGCAAATTTGATTAGATATGACTGGTTATGATCAGCTGTGATGGGTTCATGCCATAAATCCCGTCTCTTGTGTTCGTGCGCATTCCCCCATTCATGAATCAGTCTGAATGAACAATATAATGGCGTTAATGGGAAGATTAATAAAAAAAAAAAAAAAGTCACACTTAGATATAACCACTTTATGTCAAAATAAGACTTGAAATAGCCTGAAAACATGATCTGTCAGAATATTTAGTGAGTTATCAGCTTGATGAAATGTAAAGTAAATCTCCATGTCTGTGACCAATATTTACTGAGCTTTGATGACTGATGATCCGTAAAATTAAAAAATAGTGTTTTTCCTATATTATCCATTGAATGCAACAGTAAAAATTAGCCCATTATCAAGGCAAGGTTCACTTAATAACTTGCTGAAGCCTATGGTTAAGGGGTCATGAACTGCATTTTTTTATTATTTTATAATGTGTCCTTAAGTGCACTTACAAAGAGGGTGAGGGTGCTCAGCATAAGCGGAGTTTACATAGCACAACAGCAGCAAGCCGTCATCAAGACAGAGAAGATTTTTTTCTTCACTAGCAGACCTAGTGGGAACCCCTGTAGCCCTTGGTTGTGACGGGGCTAATCAGCTGCCTACACACACATGGCATAATGTAGAAGACAGAAAGCAGTGAAAAACAGTACTTATAACTATCAGTTAGGTTAGCACATTCATAGTATAATTAGGAGACAGAAAGCAGTGAGAAACAGCACTTATAATTATCAGCTTCCCATCCATCCCAGCTCAGTGCACAAGCAGTGACAGAGAATGTATGCAACAACAGACTACCTCAAGAAGCTAGTATTGAAAACTGATTCCTTAAGCTAGTTAAGCTAGTTAATGGCCAACTTTTCAAGTAGGCCATAAGTAGTCTGTTACCAAGGAATATAGCTTTGATGTGCGGCAAAAGTTGTTGAGCTTCACAAAATGGGAAGTGGCTATAAGAAAATAGCAAAAGCAAAAGCAAAAAGTCCCAGTCAACTGGAGATGTTGTGAATCAGAATGAGTCAAGAAGCCTCAATAAAAATATCAAATATCACCCACATCACCATAAGTGGGAGGGTATAAAGAAAAAAACCCAAGTATATTTAGTTGCAGGACACTACTGAAACATCAAACGGGCCCAGCTTCCATGGTCAAATGAAAAGAGAAAAAAAAAAGAGCTTTTTGGCAGCAAACACAAGATTATTTTGGTGCACACTAAGATAAAAAAAAAAAGGTACCCCATGCCCAAGGTTAAATATATTGTGGGATCTTTAATGTTGAGGGTCTATTTTCTGCCAAAGGCCATCTGGACATCTTGTTCAGATACAAGGCGCTGTGGATTCTATCAAATTTACATTTACATTTAGTCATTTAGCAGACGCTTTTATCCAAAGCGACTTACAAATGAGGACGATAGAAGCAATCAAAACTAGCAAAAGAGCAACAATATGTAAGTGCAAATGACAAGTCTCGGTTAGCCTAATGCAGTACACGTAGCAAGGTAATAGATATATATATATATATATATATATATATATATCAGGTAAGAGCACAGCAGCTGCAAAGGGGGTGCTCACAAGCACCCTTATGAAACAAAAAAAAAATTGATGAAATGGGACCTCCCAAGGTTTCGTGGAGTTGACAGACATAAATTAGTTACTTGGGGGGGGGGGGAAAATCTTGATGGATCGATAAAAGAGAAATAATCTAATAAAAAACACTATTAAAATAACATAATGAATCCTTAATTTGTTAGGACTCTTTTTTTCCAAATTCATTCATTATCTTGAATAACTATTATCTATTTATCCACATGATAATTGATTGATTTACTGATATCTCAATTAATTAATTCATTGCTCAGTTGATCTCAGATATGGCCCTGAAATCAGTTTCCTTCATCATCCCATACCTTCATCTCCAAATGTTGAGCTGCATTTCACACAGCTAAAGCATTCTGGATGCCAGTTTTTATCCAGCGCAGTCACCATTTTCTGAAGGAGAACATAATAAGGCCAGATTAGGGCCAGATAATATACAGTATAAAGCTATGGGAGTTGATACTGGGTTACAAACAAAGATGAACAACTTCAAATTACATATTTAGGGAGAATTTTGGCAAAACAACTATTGTATGAGAAAAAAATCTGTAATACTTTTCTATTAAGATGTTAAAGTATTATGGCTAGATGTGCCGCTTTGAGCACAATTTGGGCGATACAAATGTAAGATCACATTAAGATCAGCTGATCATCTGTCTTTCTCATATAATCACATGAAAAACATTGATATACAGTGGGTACGGAAAGTATTCAGACCCCCTTAAATTTTTCACTCTTTGTTATATTGCAGCCATTTGCTAAAATCATTTAAGTTAATTTTTTTTCCTCATTAATGTACACACAGCACCCCATATTGAGTACATTAATGAGGAAAAAAAATTAACTTAAATGATTTTAGCAAATGGCTGCAATATAACAAAGAGTGAAAAATTTAAGGGGGTCTGAATACTTTCCGTACCCACTGTATATTGTCAGGACTGGATCATGATCCTGCGAGGCCCCTGGTTATACGTCTTGGGGGACCTAAGCAATTTGGCTTCAAAAAGTTAGAAAACATGCATTATGGCAATTAATATAAGACCAAAAAAAAAAAAAAGTTTTCTGGATCCTATCTTGTTCTGTGTGCGGAGGGGCCCTAGTGGTCAGCATGTGCTCTATGCATTAAGGCAGAGTTTACCAACTCTGTTCATGTAAGGCAGGGGTGTCAAACTCAATTCCTGGAGGGCCGGAGCCCTGCAGAGTTTAGATTCAACCCTATTTAAACACACCTGATCCAACTAATCAAGTCCTTCAGGCTTATTTAAAAACTACATGGTATGAGTGTTGGAGCAGGGTTGGAACAAAACTCTGCAGTGCTCCGGCCCTCCAGGAACTGAGTTTGACACCTCTGATGTAAGGTATACCAACAGTACACATTTTCAAACTCTTCCTAATTAAACACACCTGATTCAACTCATCAGATCGTTAGTAGATTCTCCAAGACCAGAAATGGATGAGTCAGATAAGTGAGACACCCAAAAATCATAGAATGAGAACGACACTTGAACTGAATTAAGCTGGATGATGGCACTATCGTCTTCTGTACAGCTGGGGTCCATTCTTCGTACCTCGCTTAATACACCTGAGATAATTTGACAGATGCCAGATCTTTTAATCCTGGTAACTGATCTCTGGCTAATTTGGTTCTTCAAACAAGTTAGCAGATTTGATTAAAAAAAATCTGGATTAAGTTGTCGTAAATTACTTTGTGTTGTCATGTTCATTGGAAAGGGCAGATATTTCGATACTCGAAAATATGATCAGCAATGCAGCAATTGGCTGGCGGCAAGACAGCAACATAATGACATCATATAATTAAAATCAAGGAAACAGCCTAGCCAGCAAAATGACATAAAAATGTGTACAGGCTTTGCATTTTTCAGTGTCAAGAAGAGTATTGCAATTAGCAAGTAATTTAATTTTGAAGCAGATTTGTTACATGTGACAGCATTAAAGTTTCTTAATGCATACGATCCATCTTAAGACATAACTAACTGTGTTTAAATTAATTATGCATCATAAAAGCAATTTGATATTTGAGAAGTGAGTCCGCATCTCCTGCGATGCATTAAAGCCACCCGCATAAAAGCTCACCGTTTAAATTAATGCATGGTGTGTGCAACAAAATTATGAGATAATTATTCCTTCACGAATAAATCTCTCAATGAGTAAAACTGGTTGTGTCTATTTTAATTATTTTCAAAATAATTTTTGGTTTAATAAGGTTGTAAGAAAATAGCAGTGGCTGGGATACACTTTCAGTATCACCTTCACTTAAAATTATGCAATCTAATCCTGTTTATGTGAAATAAGCATGCTCCTGAGCAGATTTGAGCTAAAGGACCTGTTGCTATGACAGCAACTCCAGGATGAGCTTCGAAGAATCTAACAATCCTGGATCATGTCAAAATGCCAACAATAAAATCCAGCTAATCCAGGGTAATCCACATAAGAAGAACGGACCCCTGCTTTACAACTTAATAGCATTTTGCAACATCAACACTGAACTGACTCAAGCTAAATAATGACATTGCTGCCTTAGGTAGAACTGCTTGTAGCTGAATTGAACTTGTTTCAAATTTATTAACTTCACACTATTATTGATCTGAACTGAAACAAGACTGTAATTCTGACCTGAGCTAAATTATGGCACTATTGTCTTTTAGAGCTGCTTTATAGCAGATTCTGAATTGTCTCCATAGTTGAGTTTCCATAATTGTTCCTGCTTTTTTCCTCGATTTTCTCTGTGAAGCTGCTTTGACACAATCTGTATTGTATAAAGTCTTATAGAAACAAAGTTGACTTGACTTGACTGGTGTTGATGTACCTCCAGAAACAAGGTTGGGAAACACTGCATTAAGGACCTGAAGTTCATTTTGATCCTTTTTGTGTCTTTTTTTGTGGGATCCCACACCACTGCTCATTTTGTAGGTCTCTTTTATCTGGCACATGCACACAGTTCAGTTCATGGAACTCTCTGTTAACAAGCTGATTGATGATTTGACGCAAGTGTGTTAAATAAGTGAGACATGGACAATCTGCAGTGCTGTGGGTCCCCAGGATTAAGAGTTTAAAACCACTGCTCTAGTCATTTGGCGATAATATGATTAGATTGACTGAAGTTCAAAGTCTAGACTCCTATAATTCAGTTTGAAGCTTTGTTTTAATGGTTTCACATCTGGGATGTATGTACAGTGCATGGTCCCATATAGTTAGACTTGACAACAGCAGCGTGAAAGAACATTATCAACAAAGAAAAAGGTAACAGTTTACAATAAGGTCTCGTTTGTTAACATTAGTTAATGCATCAACTAACATGAACTAATAATAAGCAATATATTTTAGCAGCATTTATTAAACTTAATGTTAGTTGATACATTTAATATAAGTTTAATAAAATACAATTTTAATACAATTTTAATGTTCATGTTAGTTCATAGTGCATTAACTAATGTTAACAGATAGGCTACAACATTTGATTTTTAATAATGTATTAGTAAATGTTTAATCATTAAGTTTAATGAATGCTTTAGAAGTATTTTTACCTCCCTTAACTTACTTTAAATAAAAGTTATAATAAATAAATTTAAGGAAGAGTTGGGATGGAGGAGGAATTGGGCTGCCTAAAAGTTGTTGCAGAAGTAAGGTAAGCAGAGGTTTATAGATGCTTACTCTAACGCTGTGATTTGTCAGAGTAAATGAGCATGGTCCTCTAGAACTTTTGTTTATTCATGTCATAGACTATCATCTTCATTCAGCTTCAGTACAGCTGTGAGTTTTTGAATAGGACACATAAATGTACAGTATACCTACATTGAGTATGGGCTTGTTGCATTGTGCACAGTGAGGTGAGTACAGGGTGAAGTAGTCAGGCTCACAGTATGGTCGACCATCTTTCTCAAAGAAATTACAATTGCCAAGCTCACACTCACACTCAGAGCAAACAAAGTGCTCTGGATGCCAAACCCGTCCCAGAGCTGTTACAACCTAAGAGACAGGGGAACAAGATCTAAATTTCTAAAGTTACTATCACTTTTGAAACCAGAATCCTTTAAATCATTTAAAAAAAAAATCAACAAAGAGTTCTAAGATGAAACAACATTACAAACTAGGATTTAAAACAATGTATTTGAAACCTGGTTGTGGTAGTAATTTATTTACTTCAATGAAATTAAATGTAAGTGATTAAACTTAACAACCAAATATGTTAGGTCTGTCTTCATAGGGTTATATATCGATAAAAATCTGGTTTTCTGTGAAGACAATTAATGGTACTTTTACTTACTGACCTTTGTAAACAGTACTTCTATTGTACTTCCAATACGAAAACCACAGAAAACATTTTAAAAACAAATGCATGGCTATTGATGACTAATTAAACTACTGGCTACAAGTTAAATTCAGGATTTATTAAAGAATTTTACCTGTCCTACAACTGGTTTCTGACAGGCGGAACAGTTTCCCTTAGAGGAGGTAGGCACTCCCTGCCTGCTCAGATCTGATTGGAGAAGACCCAACATGCTGTCCAATGAGCCTCCAGAGGATGCAGAGGGTGGAGAAGCTGTTTGTTGTGATGAAGATGCCACAGGACCCACAGGTGCTGCTGGCTGATACAAACAAATAACTCAACAGCTACACAAAAATACTAATATTTTATTCATTAAAAGTGAAATGTTAATAAACTCTCTCCTGACCCAGTTCAATATGCAGAGTCAACTATCAGTAAGCCAATAGTAGGTACTACTATTATGACTGAGACGCACTGTATTGTATAAAGCGCTATAGACTTGACTGACTTTACGCACAACAATGCACTGTTTGTTTGGTCCTACCAACTTCTGAACATTGTTACATTGTTACCAACATTGTCACCAAATCTGTTTTAGTGTTTAGTGTTTTAGTGTTTGGGAAACCAACCAATTCAATCTGGTGACACTAGTTCAGCAACTGCATAAAATTATGTATCAAACATACTGTGCTTTGGACTCTGAAGTCTGATAGAGACGCCATTAGTTTGTCCAGCTCTAAAGTAGCAGATGTAGCTGAGGGTTTCGCTGAGCTAGAAACAGAAAAAAAATTATTACTGTCTGACAATCATTAATAGAATTATATAAACTGTACACGCATATTCATTTGATATCGTGAGTTTGACTTTCCTCCATTATGTGTTGTCATTACTACAAATAAAGCCATTTATTTAAATGAAGATCTGCAGGGATATGATATGTTATCAGTCAGTAATGATACTATTATTTAATTAGTAGCTGGTATGTAATCTCTTATCTATTATAAGGCATGTGGAATGAGCATATGTAGGAAAATGAGTATACAGATGAATAAACATCGCAATATATATCAGTGCACTAACCCAGTAGAGGATGGACCAGACTTTGAAAACTGATCATCTTTTTTGGTGCTGGGGAATTGTGCCAAAATCTCATCTAACAAAGACAAAGGAAAAATTATACATCAGAGGAGTTCTTTTTTTAAATGAAACTCTAGGGCACTGCTTACTGCATACTGCTGACTATATACCAGATACTGCCTACTATTCTAACTGATCAGTTTTCATTTTATTCTATTTCATTTACTTTTGGCAGTCTGGAAAATCAGTCAAGTACAAGTGGTGCATGGCACACAGTGTTCCATACACTATGCTCTGGTTGTATATGGCACATTTTAGCAAATATAAACCAGTTATGTGGAATTCCCAGATCATTTGGTGACTGTTCACAGTATACATACTGCATGCATTTGTGTTGTTGTTTTTGTAAATAGTAGGTATTCCATTCTGACAGACAAGGACAGATTATGGACTGAGCCAATGACTGCCAGGGGTTTATCATATTCAGGTCATATTCTGTCCTTGCACACACACAGTAAAGTACTTTGTAAGCTACTAAGAAGTCAGCACTCACCTGTGATGTTGAACTGTGTGGCATTAAGCTCCTGTAGTAAGTGATCAAGTTCACTCAGCCCTCCACCCAGAACTGAGGAGGAGGAGAAAGCAGGAGGAGGGTCTGCCGTACGTGGGAAGCGTGGTTTACATACTGTACTGAGGAAATAAAAAGTTACAAAACAATCACTATGGACTTACCGCAACATTCCAAGAGTTAGTTCTAAATGAAAATGATCATCTTTGATTTTAAATGACATCCAAAGCTATTGTACAGTTTCAGAAGACTTTCAGAAGGAATACAGATCATGATACTTTTAGGATCCTTTATGGTACTTTTCTGTCCTCTGTGGAGCTTGACAGCCCCAGACCCCATTTACTTTGTATGGTAAACAGTAGAACAAACATTTTGCTAAACATTTTTGTTGTTGTTAATGGAAAAAATAAATACTGGTTTTGGGGGGATGAACTATTCTTTTAAAGGGGTCATATGATGCGATTTCAAGTTTTCCTTTCTCTTTGGAGTGTTACAAGCTCTTGGTGCATAAAGAAGATCTGTAAAGTTGCAAAGACTAAAGTCTCAAATCCAAAGAAATATTCTTTATAAAAGTTAAGAATCAACCACGCCTACCTAAAACGGCTCATTCTAACACGCCCACTATGTGGAAATATTAGCATAATGCCGCCCAGATGTACACGGAAAGAAAGAAGGCGTGGTTTCAGGATGTTCGAATTTGTGCAACGCATTTTATGGACATCAGTTTTTTGAACCTAGAAGAGTACAAGGCTGGCTGTGCACAAAGGCTATTTAAAAAAAAAAAAAGGGCC